GTTTGCTAAGGGACAAACAAGGCCAACAGCTTCATAATGAATATAGCCTCCTGTGTGTTTATTTGGGACTGATGCGGTTCTCGAAACAGGCTGGCGCAGCAGAGCCCAGGCGACTGGCGGGGGATAAACCAAAGCGGCTAGCAAAGAAAAAGCTTCCCTTAACAGAATGGTGTCAGGAGTGGGATTGGATTTCCACGCAAAACAACAAAAGCTTTAAAGGAATTTTAGAAACAGAAGAACGGCGAGAAGCACAGATTTTGGTAGCAGCAATTTTCTCAGGTGTGCTCTGTTTTGCTAGTGACAAGCCGAGATTCACGTGGCTCGGTTACAGGAGTCTTCCTGACTCAGCATAAAAAGAAAAAGAAAAAAAAAAACCAACAAGGTTGTTTTAAGAGACTCTGCTAACGATTGAAAGGTGTGTACGTACAGCTGGAAGTGGCAGCTTTTGCTGGAGGTCAGCATGGACTGAGGCGGTTAAGCTGGAATCATGCTTACGCCCGCCATCTTGGAAAAAAAAAAAGAGGCAGTTTAAAACAGCCACGGTTTTACAGATAAGACACGTGGCCAGAAAAACATAAAGATTTACAGTAAAGTCAGACTTGGATAAAGAAAAACTTCTAAAGGTTTACAGTGTGTTTAAAAATATATGTGAGATTGAGAGAGAAACTGAAACGGCAAAGTGGTAAATGAATACAAAAGCCGGCGTTGTGGTGGCGCACGCCGGTAGGATTGCTCCAGAGGCAGAGGCAGGCAGGTTTCCAAAGAAACCCTGTCTCAGAGAAAAATAAATAAAAGTAAAATAAATAAAGTAATAATAGATAAATAAATAAGCCACGTAAAAATGGAAAATACACAGAGAGTCTGGATACTGTACGCTATTGTGTTTTTCAATTTTTTAATTGCTCAGGAAGGAACAGCTGCTAAAGTACACTTGATTATAAATGCTGCTAAATTAATCCAACTTCTATCTTTTGAAAATGACTTGACTTCAAATTTTAAGTATAAGGATATGTTACTCGGAAAAGGAGTTTTTGCTTATGTTTCTACAGAAAATGAAAAGCTGAGAATTCCTTCCAGGCTTCTGTGGTTTCACGAACCAAGACCCCCGGAAGCAGTGGACCAGGTGTTTCAACGACTGAGACAGCTAAGATGATACAGCTTTACAGACCCCGAAAATACGGACTTATACAGGTTTCTGAGTTTTGTCATGACCACCATGGTGTGAACAGCGCCCCCTTCCAGCAGGAAGCAGTTTGGAATGAACGACATCCCAATTCCCATCTTGTTTATAAAACTTTGTTTTCATTTAAATGGGATTGTTTATAATTGGCTAGTGATCACAGCCAATCTTTTTTAATGGTAAAAAGGGGAATTATGGTATGGGTATTGTTTTTCATTTATTGAGACAAAATCAAGGTCAATTTTGTGATGCTTATATTTCTCCTCTTGATTAAGTATTGTGCTTATAATGATCTTTTACAACGTAATGCATAATTAAATACAGACTATAGATAGTTACTTATAATAGAATTTCTAGTTACATAAGTTAGGTTTCTAGATATACAGAAATATATTTGAGATGGACAGTCTTCAAACCTCTCAAAGACCTTCAGAACATGGCATTTAAAATGGTTTAGGGTTTGTCTTGACAATGAGAAATGTCTGCTCCTGGCAGCACCAATTACGTCTGAGAGGAAGATGGGCATCGAAGAAACTCGTTATAAAGTTTGCTTTCAACATGGCAAGATTAGCCATTTGGGCAAGAAACTGCTCTTGCCTAGATTGTTTGACTGTTGTTGTATCATCTGGACATGCAGGACCCACAGGAAAGTGACTACTGAACTCAGTCTTACAGGGTTCCTGCTTGATGAAGAGTCTACGAGACTTTCTGCAGGACAAAGAAAAATGAATGATAGTCTGTCAATGCAGATGGACAGTTTAAAATTTCCTGCTTTGCTGAGAAGTGTTCCAGACACATTGTGGCCTATGGGCTGAAGATGGATGCCCCAACGTTACAGAGGAACTTCGGGTGACTGTCCAGGCAGTAAGATATCTCTGTCAATCCTAGTGTTTATATATTATACTTCTGTGGTCTTTGATGGAGTTGAAGACAGATAGTTATAATTATAGTTTTCCTTAGTTATGATAAAAGATAAGCTACATATAGGACTTTGGACTCACAAGGATGGGATGGATGATATTTTCTTTAGATCTTGCTAAAATATTGTAACTGTGTTCTTACTTGATAACTGTTCTGTCATATACAATTTGACTATGTTAAAATTAAGACCTTTCTTTTTGTTTAAACAGAAAAGAGGAGATGTTGGGGAAGTCTTATGTTAATAAAGTACTGTCTGGCCAATAGGAATCTAGATAGGTGGGGCTAGGAGCCCAGGAGGATTCTGGGAAGGAGAAAGGAGAGAGTTCGAGATGTAGCCGCATGGGGTAGGAAGCCGGGAACTATTCTCCGGTAAGAAACATACTTAGATTAACAATTATGGGGTAATTACTTAATGCAGAGCTAGCCAGTAAGGGACAAACAAGGCCAACAGCTTCATAATGAATATAGCCTCCTGTGTGTTTATTTGGGACTGATGCGGTTCTCGAAACAGGCTGGCGCAGCAGAGCCCAGGCGACTGGCGGGGGATAAACCAAAGCGGCTAGCAAAGAAAAAGCTTCCCTTAACAGTTTGCAGTATATGATAACAACACAGAGATCCAAGACTAGCTGAGGTGCAGAGAATACAGACTGCAGAGTGTTCAGCCCTAACTGAAACATCTACACTGCAGCCCCTCTCCCCAATACTCAAGATCATCGAGAAATTGGAAGCAGAAAGTGTAAGAGCCAGAGGTTGGAGATGATTACGGGGAAACCTGGTCTCTTAGGCACAGACACTGTGACAGCATATATAAGGCCTGCCCAAGCTCAAACCAAATCAAATCTCAGCATTAAGATGAGGGGTAGACGAGAATCCTCGCCCTCCGCTGAGGAGCCTTTGTCAAACGACAGATGGCATGAGAGTGTGGCTCCTGCTAAGTCAGCCATACTCCAGTGAAACGTGGGGTATTTGAGAAGCACAAACTGACCTTGATGTTTAAAAACGCATCCATACGCACACAAAAGACACTACGTTGAGTGGGGAGAGAAGAGAGGATGGGTCTTAAGAGGATGTAGGGAAAATGATCTAAACACATTATATAAAAGTCTCAAAATTATAAATTGAAAGTAAAAGAATAAAATGATCAAATGGAGAATGTGCATGACATTTTTAAAGATGACAGTGGCTCATAAGTAGAGATCAAATCAGCAGGGAAAAAAGAAACAAATAAGGTTCGTAGTAACCTGTGGTATATTGTCATGCAGACAGGAAAAAGAGAGAGATTGGATTTAGAAAGAAGAGAATGGAGTCATGGCCTAACCTAGAGGCAGAACCAACAAGACCGCCAAAGACCACATAAGTATTGTTGGTAGTTTGGGCATGCACATAGGAAGGAATCAATGATGCTTAAGACCCTCTGTGAATGACCGCTCTGATTCCTGAGAGGCGAGATGCAGCCTTTGCAGGAAGTGGGTTTCAAGGGACTATCAAATGCACTGTTAGAACATGTTAAGATTGAGACACCTGTCATATATCCAAGGGGACCTATCAGAGAGCAAGAGCACAGGGCCAAACCTTCAAAGCTGCAACTGCAGTGAAGCTGCAAATTTGCAAGTCACAAGAAAACAGCTTAAAGCTCTGGCTAACGGTGAGATCACCTATGGAGAGAATGTGGCATCATGCTCCTATACAAGCCGAAGAGGACAATCTATGCATTTTCTATGACAGCTTCAAGAAGGAAAATAAAAAGTATCTGACAATTAGTCACTCCTAGTAAAATTCTTGTTTGAGTCCCCTAGAGCAAGTTCTTATAAAAGGTGCCAAAGAGCATGCCTCTAAACGATAACAGTGTATACATTTATGACTGTTCAATTTTGTGCCGTTACTATAAGCAAAAAGTGAATGCCATTAGCTACAGCATGGTTTGTACCTCCTAAGTACAATTCCTTATACTGCTATACAAAACCTAGAGAAGGTACTGAGATAGACATTGTCTGTGTTGCATTTAGTGGAATCTGGATGGACCGACTCAAGGCTACTGTGAGGCTGGAACTCCTTTCTCCTTTGCACTGTATGCAGAAAGCCACAGGACCCCTCAACTTAGCTCTTCCTTATATCATGAGGCAAAGACAAGAAAAACAAATACGTTATGAGGCCAATTCTTCTGAGTCTTCCTTCAACCTTACATTGTTCAAATCTTGTCAAGCAGGTCTCCAAACTATTGTCACTGGGCAAGGTGCCAACATTTAGTGTCATCTTGTATCAGAACTCAGGCTTCAGTCTCCTCTCAGAGGTCCCCACACTTCACCCAGGTCTGTGTAAGAGCGGGCTGGTGCATCAAACCATTACACAAAGACGGTTTGCCCTTTCCCACAGATTCAGAACGTCAGCAAAAACGTATGCAGTGGCAAACCTTTACCTTGAAGGAGGTAGTCTATCATTAAGTTACCCTTCTATCTCTGTGGAGAAGATCTACTAAGGATGGGGAAGATAATATTTATAATCCTGAATCAACACCACGCCGATTGCTATCTGCTTCACTTGTAAAGTCCTAAGAGCTTAAAAAGTCTACCTTAATCACCTGGGAGCAGGCAAACTTCAAACAGACTGCCAAGAGACTGTAAACTGTTGCAGAAGGCTGACTTCGCATTACATAATAGCTGAAAGAAATCTTGAGCAAGTACATCCACGAGTTTCCCTTGTGAAATGTCTGTAGACAGCCAAGTATTTTCTTCATCAAGTGGAGCTAGAAGCAGTCCTTGCACAAGGGGCTACAAATCAAAGACAGCTACGTAAAGAGCAATTAACTTAAGTATGTGGAGGAGTCAAACATAAAAGAACACCAGGCCCAGAGGTTCACTGCAAGCACTCAACTTCATTTTTTTTTTTTAGAATTTTTTTTTAAGAAATCCCGTGAGATTACACATACCACCTCTATGGGCCAAACACAACACATGGGACTGGAATAAATTGCTCAAAGCAACAGAAATTACCATAGGCTAAGCAGCACTGATTGCCAAGGAAACAGAGGAAATATTAATTGGGATTTACAGCTGTCCCTCGTGTCCCCCAAGTAAGTTGTTGACCGGGATCTAGAGGTTGCCGTGCTAAAAGCAAGACAGAGCCAGGCAGGTGGGAACAACTGGTCACATTAGACAAGATGTCAGCTTGGTGGGTGCTGGGAGCTTGGGAACAAAACACAATAACTACACAGGGTCGAGTTTTAAACAAATGGTGAAGTCTGACGTTTGGTTTGAAACAAAAAACAGCATTAGGCGGCACATAAAGAAAACAGAGTTACCATCGAAACATCTCCATAGAGTAGCTGGACTGATGAGCAGGCATCTGACTGTCATGGGCACATGATGGACATTGCTAGTCCACCTCTTTAACTTTTCACACAAAACAATTCTGTGATTGTGTATTAAAGATATGAGGGATTAAAGACAAGAGGGGTCCTACAACACTTAATGATCCAGGCGAAAGTAACATCTTAAAAGGATGCTCAAGGTCAAAATATTCATTAGTTCTAAATTGCATTTCTGGGTGTTGTTTCTCATCTTCCATATTGTTTAGGGAGATAAAAGGCATTCATTGTCCAGATGTGATATGCTGACACAAGGAGCCTCCCAGATGTGATATGATGACACCAGGAGCCGCCATCTGGCACAGATGTGGTTTCACCACCACAGCAGTAACATTCTCCAAATGTCTAAATGGGAACTATCACAGAGTCCACAAGGAAAAGGGTAAGTCATGCGCACAGTGGAAAAGCCAGCTTAGCAAGGATCTCAATAAGGCTTATATATGTAAATAAAAAATGGGCAAGTTATTCATGCCCATCTCTGTGAAGCTCTTATAAAACTACATTCCCTGTTTTCTAACGGGATAGTCAATAATGTGTATTTCCTCTCTATTCAAAGAATGAGAGAGATACAAAATGCATACCAAGACGCTTTCTTCACAAACAAGTTTTAGAAAGGAGTAAAAAAATCTTTGAAATATTTGAGGCAAAAGTATCAAATTTGACCTCAAGGTCTATAAACATCTTTCTGATGACAGAGAGTGTATTCATGCATACAGTGTCCCCTTACACCTGTGAAGAGCTGTCCTGAGCACAGGAACTTTATGCTTTTGTCGCCTTCCTCCTCGGAGTAAAAGTTGGTTTTACACTTCAATGTTAAAAATAGTTCTTCAAATTGTTAAAAAAAAAAAAGCCATCCCCATACACCACCAGTTTACATTTCTTGCCTCTTTCATATCCTTAATCACTCTGCACATTTGTTTTTCAGCATCTGTATCCATACCTTGGGATAAATTCTAAACACTAAAAATCTCTCATTCACTCATCACTGGGATCATCTGGCCTGACTTTACCTCTCCTGAAGTATTCAGTGGAAAAACACAAGTCTTAAAAAAAAGAAAAAGACCTTCCTAAGACTTTCAATGGAAGTTTTGAGTTGGGTAAGCCTTTTAAACAGTGCACATTTAATGGGTACATAACTAAGATTATTAAAAGCTTGATAATTAGAACCTTTAATAAAAAATGTCAAAGTAGCAGGGTCGTAATTTCCAGCAACACTGGATACAGGTGGATTCAATGTTCTTTTTTTTATTCTTCCCGTTTAATTTGATTAAGTGAGAAATAACAAGCAAGTGTAAGCCCTTCCTGGAGATCATCATTTAATTTCTTTTCCAAAATTGCTCAGGTAGGATCCAGCAGCTTCAGGCATAAGGTAGGATGTAAGAAATGCAGAATTTTCCACCAATTATCAGGAGATGGTAGCACACAATGGTGCTTCTAACCCTCATAGTCAAAAAAATTTTGTAGTGCAGCTAAAAGTGTCTAGCTGTGACCATAAGTTTGCATAATTGAGAGGATGGGTTATCACCTCAAAAAGCAGAGGCTGTATCAGAACCCTCGAACTAGAGTTAGAGATGGATTAGACAGGAAAGATCGCTTCCTGTCTATCGGGCACCGTTAGCTGACTTACAAACGAGCGCCTATCACACATGGGCAAATGGAGATGACCCTATCTTCTTAGCACATTGATGGCATTCTAAGGAAAGGGTGACACGTTGAGGTGGTGGCTTTCATTAGGAAACTGTTCAGGTTAACAGTTCAGAATGATCAGAAGAGCAAGGCTGAGGATGTGATTCCACAGTGAACCTTCCCTGACCAAACTGAAAGCTCATAAAGGAAAGTCTCAACTTGCAAGTCAAGCTTTCCCAGCCTCCCTGGGCCAACAGGAACCTGCCCTTCCAAGCATCCCCAGTGATCTCAGCAAAGAGGATGGTATCGCTCACAGTGTTCCACTCTGGGATGTATTGAATATTCCTTGAACTTTATAAATCCCAAATGACAATGTTCTGAGACTCAAGAGGCTTAAACAACATCTTAAAATAATTCACTTTAATTGAATTAAAATTTAAAATTAAATAGATGTGATTGACCCTTTGGGAAAATGAAAGATAAAATAAAAACAATAAGAACCAGCATAATGAAAAATAAAATTGAAAATATGAAAACTCAGAGGGAAAAGGGTCATCTTTTGGTAAGAAGAATCCATTCCCATAATAAAAAGTTGTACCTTACACATGTAAAGTAAAAAGCAACTAAACCTACTAACAAAACAACCTGTATTTTGCTTCTAGAGTAAATACTACCTGTTATTAAAAATAATTTCTAGAGATTATAACTTCATAATTGGCCCTTCCTTTCTTCCCTCTAACCCCACCCATGCACCCCCTTGCTGTCATTCAAATTCATAACCCCCTTTCTTTAGTAGTTGTTCATATATATGTATGCATTCTTAAATACATGGATGCAACTTCCTCAGTCTGAATAATTTACTTGTATGGATGCTTTCAGGGCTGACCATTTGGTACCAGGTAATTAATTGGTGAGCTCTTCCCTGGAGAAGACTATTTCTCCCACTGGCAGCTGTCCTTAGGTGCCTGCTTGCTGGGCTCTCTCTTTTCTTTTAAATCTTTTAGGCTTACAATAATCTTTGTATATCGAGTCTTTTTATTTGTGAAGTTAGGGGCCTTCCTTCCCTGTGTTCCTGGAACAATGGTCTTAGGTGGATATCTGGAAATCCACTCTTGTAGGGAGAGCTGAGGAAGTAGGGCTGAGACTTCAGCAGCTGTGCTAGTGGGCGTTCCCATCACTCCCTTCTGCATGTAAAGGAATAGAAGCCAATGAAAGCCCTGCTCCTCAGGCTGCTGAGACTGTGACCTCACTTCCTCAACACCTTTCCCAGGCCAGTCTCCACTTAGCAGCTGAGGTAGGCTCCAGGGAAAGAATTACTCACAGGCATCTATCTGCTCAATGGTTTCTCCTCTCATTTGTTCCAGTCTGTCAACAGGAAGAGATTTAACAAACAAATATGGAGTCTTTACCCTCAAGGAAATTATGACCCAGTAACTGGGAGAATGAGTAAGTATACAGCAACAAAGACTGTAAGACAACAACAGGACTCCCATGGTCCTTTCATAGACACCTTCTGCTTCCCCCTGCTTCCTGTAACCTCCCCAGTGCTCCTGTGTCCTGTGTTCCTGAGGACACCATCATGATTGGGCTGGAGATAGTCAGTCTGTTTGTCTAGTGTCAGATGGAACTGATAAAATGACTGTGAACACTGAGGTAATTTTTGGTTAGTCTGTTTGTTTGTTTAATCTCACATGGGACTTACAAACGATGGTGAGGATGGAAGTCATTTTAAAAGCATGCCTCTGGCCTTTCCTACTGACCTTCAAAGAGATCACTAAAAAATGCACCCAGAATGGCATTCTAATTAACATTCAGGATCATATGCTTAGTATCTCTCTGGGGGAGTCATGAATTTAATTTTTTTCTGAATAAATAAATAGCAATAAAACCGCACAAAAACAAAACAGCTTTCCAATGTTGCCCTGACCTGCTTATTTTAGCCTTTTAATTCCATGTTAAACTAAGTAGTAAACAAACTTTTCTAAAGTTGCTTCCTCTCTCATGACCATCGCTGACGCAGACATCGGCCAGGAGGGAGGCCTCCAAGGATTACGCTGCAAGCATTAGACGCAACTTGGCAGCCACTTGTAAACTCCAAAAAGGGTAAATCAAGTATCAGCAAGCAGTTGCAAAGCTGAATTGCTTCCTCTCTCCCAGTTTCTCACAAGACGATCCGACTCCAGCTTCCCCTCTCCCAACAGCAGCCGGCTCTGAAGGAAGTCTGCTCTCTCTCACTGGCTTCTATTTAGGACCAACTGCTTATATTATTTTCCTCAAGCCTATTAATAACTTAGAAAAAAGAAAAACAGTACACATGGTGAAGCTTAAACAACAGCACAGATATCTTCCTGTTTGGTTTTTTTTTTACCATTTTTTTTGTGCTATGAATTCTGTCTTTACCTCAAGAATATGAATTCAATGGTGAGTTGACAAAGAGCAGTACTATTAAAAACACACACAAGATTCATTTTCCTGAGTTGTACAATTAGTGTTTTTATAATTTCATTGTATTTCTTCCTGATTTGTTTCACTAGGGCTTATATAATAATTGACATATAAAAGTAATTTTAATTATTGTTTTATGGAAGTTAAGTATTAAAAAAGGTGAAACTTGCATTGATTAAGATTCTGTGGACCTTTTTATTTTATTTACTTTTTAATTTTCCGTATTAATTACATGTTTTTAAAATTATTTCTCTTATTTTCCATTCCCTCCAATCCTTCCCATATTCCTCTCCTTGTTCTCTTTCAAATTCATGCCTTCTTTTTTCAGTAATTGTTGCTACAAACATACATGTATGTTTTTGTGGGTCCACAGCACATGATTTTGGTAGAATGAGTTTTAAGTACCATTTAAAAATATTTAGCTGATACCAGATTTTTTTTCCTATTTCTTCGCTGGAACTAGTAACAAAGAGTTTTTTGGGAACTGTAAGTCATTACTGTCTAAATAAATAAATATATCTCAATGTACAATAAGTGCTTAATTTCTAGTAGACCAAAAAACAAACAAAAAAACCTGTCTTCCTATTCATACCTGACAGAAAAGCTCTTAAGCATCTGGGAGAAGTGGTGTAAGATAGGCACTTTGGCCTTTTTAGATCAGTTGACACATTTAACACATATCCTCAGGGCCCAAACTCCCACCAAGAAAACCTGGAAGGACTTCCTGTTTTTTGTTCCTCTCCTTAAATCAATTCTGCTCAGGTATGGAGACCATTCAAGTCTGCACCAGAGGTAGATTCCTCCCTTGGCAACTCTGACTAGCTGAACCATCAGTGAGTGCTTGCAAACCATGCAGATCATAATCCAAGTGAAAATAATCCCTCTGCATCACTGATCCTCCCTGACACACCCCACAACTCCGCCTTTATTAATGTCTGAATTTTAATTATGGATTCTACCAGATGAAGACGTCTCATCTTTCAATATAGCTTAAGCATTCTCATCTTTATCAAAATTCTCCTGACCCCACTCCTCATCTAGGGTAAAGGGGTATTTTCACTGGAGCCTCATGAGTGTCTATGGGCTGCGATGATGGCAACAACCCAAGTCAAATCTCTGGCAGTTGGCTAGTCCGAGTGGCCGCGATCAGTCTCTACAGCACTGGCCTCTACAGATCTGTGGAGATGCTATGCTGTTGGTGCCTATACACCTGAACTTATGTAATAGCTAATGCTATTGTTGCCATTCTAAAATAAACACTTATTGATCACTTCCCTAGGCAAATTCAAAGTAGCAAAGAAACTCAGCACTTCCCATTTTCATGTACTTCCAAGGGATAAAATTTTACTTCTTCAATGCAAATATTTACATTTTTAAGTATTTTCAGGTGGGTGGTAGAAACGTAAGATTGTCCTATATCATTAACCCAGCCATAATAAAGAATGGTTTCAGCTATTCATGGGCTAGAAGACTTTAGAAAGTGACATTAGACACACTAAATCAAGGAATTCACAAGTATAAATAAGACAGCAACATTACAGGGTTGCTCATGGCGTCTAGACATGCTATATACATTGGGATGTTTAATCTCAGCCCCAACTCTAATGCACCTCTGATTCCTTACTTCCTTACATTAGTGGCTATACTAATCACTTTGGCATGACATACATTTTCTAGATATTTTTCAGAATCATCTATTACACATAGGTAATGAATATCCATCATGAATTTCTGTTCTAAACACAATTTTTATTGCTATGGAAGAAAACGTCTTCCATATGTTGCCAAGGTCATTCTCTCACCTCAAACCTGGGCATCAATAAGAGATTGTTGAAGATGCTGCGGGAACAAAGTTTCCATGCACTGTCTATGCCACTGAGATTCAGAAATACTAACATGTGCTACCTAGTTTGTCTGCAGCAGCCTCCACCTGATCCCAAGAAGCTGGTCTCGGCCAGCTATGCTCCCTCCAGCTCACCCTTCCCCACTCTGCTGCAGGCCTGGGCCTTTGCTGGCTGGGCTTCTGAATGGGGCAGAGACCTACTGTGAGAACAGCAGTGATGTCCTGGAGGTTTCCACTCAGAATTCAGAATGTGTTTCAACAAGGAAAGAAGTTACAAAGCACAATTAAGATTCACAATAGGCCGGGTGTTGGTGGTGCATGTCTTTAATCCCAGCACTCAGGAGGCAGAGGCAGGTGGATCTCTGTGAGTTCCAGGACAGCCTCCAAAACAATACAGAAAAACCTTGTCTCAAAAAACAAAACAAATAAGCAAAAAAAAAAAAAAAAGATTCACAATAGTCAGATTGTGAGATACATGGGCCTTGCTTGGCATGTTAACTTTGTTTTATAACTTTTTTCTGAAAAAACTAACTTTGGATTAAATGCATTTAATTCAAAATGTGCAATACAGCTTGTTCATTAAATACAGATCACAGCACTGCATTTAAGTGTAAGAATAATTTCGTTTTTAATGTTTTATTTACGTCCCATACTTTGTTCACACCCACAGGAGGACTTGGTCTGCCCGTTATGAGTAGAGATGACAAAGACAAGTGGATGAGGATGGGAGTAGATGGGGGAGGGGAGGAAGGACGGAGGGGAAACTGTGGTTGGTATGTAAGATAAATGAAAAAGATGAATTAATGAAAATTAAAGAAAAAAGAGCTGTTTATTAATTTGCCCTTTTAAGGAATGGAGAGTAGAGGAAGTACGGGTGTTCTTGAGAAAATGGTGACAGGAGAGTTTAGATTGCTGAGGAAAATTATGCAACATGCGTTAACCTCACTGTTCTCCTGAGTTCTTTCACCAGCCAACGTGAAAGTTTATTATGTGCCTGTCTGAACGTGCTTTTGTGGGCATTAGAAACATGGCGGCAAAAGGGGCAAACACCTTTTGATCTAGTGGAGTTGATATTGTGGGGATGGAAAGTGGGGAGGAAGAAGGGATACAGAATTCAATTCAGGAACAGAAAAAAGACTAGACTTTCATATATGATATGACAAAAGTTACCAGCCGTGTGGCCTTGTGGGTCGAGGACAACTCAGAAGTTGGGACTCGGTCCTTTCTGGGACCTGGGGCAAGATGGAACTGGGTGAAAGTGTGACCCCAGAAAGGGCAACAGGTGACCCTGGTGGGAATGGAGGCCAGGGATTCTTCTGTCATTACAGTAGGAGCGGATAGGGGAGCTCTGAAGGGACAATGATTGCAGTGGGTTTCGTCTCTAAAGAGATCCCGCCTGAAGCCGGGAAGGGGAAGGTCTACAAAGATGGAACAGAGGAGAGCTAAGGTGAATTAATCAGGAATGTGCTTGCACATGCATATAAGGACCCCAGCGTGGATCGCCAGGAATCACCTTAAAGCTCTGAGTTTGATCCTCTTGCTGGCAGGCAGAGACAGGAGGATTCCTGCAGCTCTCTAGTCTAGCTGAATTGGTGTGCTCTGGGTTCAGTGAGACACCCTGCTTCAAAAAGGTGGAGAGTGATAATAGACTCTCCATAGGCTTACACACACACACACACACACACACACACACGTACGCACGCATGCATGCATGCACACACGCACGCACACAGGCACTCATGCATGCACGCACATACAGGCACGAACGCACACGGGAACACACACTCACAGAATGTAGGAGGAAGGGCAGAAGGAGAGAGACCAGAAGGAAAACACATGGAACAGTTGAGAGGCTATTCTAAAAGTAGATGAGTCGGCTGACTCTCAAACAGTGAAGACTGGGAGAAACAGACATGACTGGACTACACTCTGTAAGAACAAAGAAAGTTCAATTAGTTCTCAACTATGTTTAAACTCTTTAAATATGTGCTTTTAAAAAGAACTTCATACTCCAAAAACATTTCACCATAGGCAACAATTGAGAAAGCCATCCTCAAATGTTTACTTCCACTCAACTTTGACTAGAAGGGCCTGAGAACAAATAGAAGATTAGGACAGCTATGACATTTCTTCCTTCTCAAACTACAACCCCTAAAATCATTTGCATACGCTCTCATCTGCTGATGAAGCTTGGCCCAAACCACTCCTGCTTGTTGACATGTAACCTGCAAATCTTTTTCCGTTTGGCAGCCACATCCACCCTCAGAACCAAAACATGGTGCTTGCAACCGAGAGCTTCCCTGCTGGCAGAACACAAAGTATATGTTCCTGGGAGACTGACAAGCGTGGGCTCAGCCAGAGTGGCGGGCCTATAGGAAAGGCTGTTTTATTTTTACAACTTGCTAGTTTGGGTTTTACCTTTCGGCATAGTATGTGATATATAGAGGAGCAGTCTCTTCCCTCAGGAGCTTAAAAGTCCCACTAGGTAACAGCCACGTAAACACAGGACTCTCCCTTGTAGAGCAAAGACTACTCCTCCTAGTCAGGCTAGCTCAGTTTCCTGGGCTTGTAAAATGGAATTCTAGAGTCCAGGACTGTAAGGGTTACTGGTTGAGAAGAGTCACAAAAGGGAACCGGATCATATCAATTAAAAGAAAACGCTGGTTACAGGCATAGTGCAGCAAGTGACTGATTATAAAACCTGTAATTGTTCCATAGAAAGGGACAGAAAAAAACCTTCCCTCAGGGTTTTGTCTCACAGAGTACTACAAAGATCACACGAATTACACACTTTGGGTTTTTCATAGTTTTGCACAACACTGAATGTTTATGTCTCTGGGTTGTAAAAATACATGTTTACTTCAACTTTCAAATATGTATATATGTGCATAAAGCCCATTCTACATAACAGTATACACACATACATGTTCTAATAGAGAGGACTATTACATATATCTTACCAATTTTAAAAGTTCAAACAGTTCAACAAAAGCAATTAGGACACA